CCAGCCATGACGCAAGTCCCCAGAAAAAGAGCGAAAAGGGTATCTCGAGGGCCCTCAAAACAGTGGCATATTTCCTAGTTCCTGAGCTGACGACGCCGCAGAAGAACATGAAGATTGGCGGCAGGAGATGCGCCACCACCTTTCCAACCCAGAGAGACAACCAGGATATCTCGATCCAGACGAAGAGCCAAAACAAGCTAACCCGGCTATCGTCACCACCCAAAGATACCCGGTCCTTGTCGTTGTTGCCGGTGAACGGGAGGATAACGAGCGGAATGGCTAACAAGAGGGCGACCGGGACGACATAGACGAGATATCGAGTGACGACCGAGAAACCAACAATCTTGTTGTAGAAACGGCCCATGGCGTTGAGCGAAGTTTCCTCGCTCATGTTGGAACCAGCACGCTTCAACTCCCTCTGTATCCGCCTGCGGCCCGCGGGGCCAGTGTTCTGGAAGAGCCCACCCTTCTCCTCGTTCCCCTCCATTGTCTGGTCGATCTTGCGTGCGCCGACTGAGCTGGCGTTGCTACGGACTGTTGTGAGGGGGATTTCTTGCATATCGCCAACCGTGGTTTGGTTGGAAATGGGCATAAAACCCATGTTTCGCGGGGACCGCGGCGACCGTAACGACATTTATATAGTATCTCGAGGTGATCGAGACGTGGAACTCGCGGGGCAATGCTGTCAGAGGCTGGTTGAGGAATGCGGGGCTCGATGATCTCGGGGTCCGACGGAAAGTCAAGCGGACATCAAGTCCTGCTTGATGTGTTTGCTTGAGGTTGTTTGGTCTTGTGCCTGCGACAGCGAATTCTGCGACGTGGGTCAAGATGGACAAAGAGAACGGATGGCACCGTCAAAGGTAGCAAAAAGCCCTGTCCTCAGATGGTACCAGATCTGGAGGAACAGGGAGCGATAAACGAGTGTTGATCAGTGGGAGAGGCAAGGAAAAAGACGAAAAGACTTCGTTGTGTTACATAGGAAAGCGGAGAGCTCGAATGTGACTTCAAATTTTGGTTTTGCGTCCAAGAAAGGGGTCCTCTTCGGACCTGGAACTGGACCCCAGCGATCCCAGCTATTCCTGGTTACCAATTGGAAGCTTCACAAGCATTTTTCGGCGGCTCGGCTAAGTGAACGAAAGGAGATGGCGTTGGGGCGCCGCTGCAATCCTGGCAGCCCGTGGATTCTGGAGGCGGGCTGATGGCAGGCTAACGCAGGGACGATCGACTTCACAAGAGCTTTAGCGGGGCAGGCCCACCCGCGCCTGCATTTTCTCCCTGTTTCATCTTTCGACGCCTCCACATAACCGCTGCCAACCACGCGGTGTGAAGAACGCGTCCGATACATTTGTATGTTGGCTCCAGGGTTAGAAGTCGGACTCATTCTTCACACAACGTGCCAACCGAATTTCCAACCTTCACTCTAGGAGCGCCAGTGGCAAAGTTACTGGAGACAATCGCGGGATGTCTTTACTTGCGACAGAATCCGGTAGACTGATCGTATTGGAGGAGGGTATGACAAGAATGCCGAGAAAACAGAGCCGCAATACGAAAAAATAGTCAGGCCCACCGACCCACCAGTTGACGCCTGCTTGATCAGCAAAGACGTCAAGACTCTGGACCCCCTTCAGTTTCCCTCTTGTCCTCTGAATGGCTTCTCCCACAAGGCCTCCGCCGCTCCGAGTCTTGAGTCATGCAAATGCTCGAGATCGACCCAATGAGAATGGGCAATGCACGTGTCCGGCGGGTATCCTTGGCACGGAACGGAGGGTGAGGTCACAGATGTCGATCTTGAAACAAAACCGTTTGACAAATCTACCAATCACATGAATGTCTGTAAAAGTGGCTCTCGAGCGTCACGACTTCACCGCAGGCCCCCGCTTTGGGAAATGATGAAGGGCAACACTGCAGACACCACAACGTCATGGCATGCAGCGTCAAGTCGGAAAAGGGATTGTTGGGGAGACGTGGACACGTCGGTGAAAGAAAGGCAGTCCACGAAATCTAGGTGATGATGAGATGCCCCAAGTTGTCTGAAGTGAGATACGTGTTTCCAACGGACATAGCCAGCATCATCCTAGGCTTTTAGGATGCTCTGAGGACACTGGTTTAATAGTAAACGCCTCGATAATCTGCATACTATTCCCTATTGTGGAATATCATACGGGCTTCTCTGAGATGCCATTTCCGTTAGGGTCTTGGTTCTCCTTTTCCCTGCAGTAATCCTCGAGCAGAAGGTTGATCAATAAATCAAATTCGACATTTGACAGATCAGATTATTGATGAGAGCCAAGAGAGCAAACACGACAGACCAGTGCAGTTGCCACATCTTGTCACTCTTGAGAGGCTGGAACCAATAGGTCTCTACGGAACGCCAAGGGAAATTCACCCAAAGCTGCAGGGCAATGTTTAGGTGCCATGCGTTCGAGTCCGCAGCGTAAACCCACCAAAAGTCAAATATGCGCCCCTGGACGAAGGGGGGGGACAAACTGATCTCGTGGTTTTGACACCCGGTTAGGTTTGTCAAGAGCCTACAAAACACAAGCCCGAATCCCAATTCAGAGATGAGGTCATGGTCCCATGCTGTCTTCGAACGCAGTAACCTCCCGAGCTGTCGAATATCTTAGAAGAGAAGGCGTTATACAGAGCCCAAGAAAGACATCGACCAGAAGCTAGTGGGTACTCGTCCCAAGTGTCGTTGCGTCTGAGCAACTCACATGAGCTGCTCAATGACAAGAACATCGCGGGGTGCATTGAACCAAAATGTTAGCGGGGCAAACAACAATCAGGTGGAAAGTGGTCATAGCTTCACATCGTGAAATTTCCCAGCCAGCTTCCGCTCTGCCAAGAACCTCACCTGATGCTCCGCGCAACCAGAAAACATGATCCAAACAGCTCTCTAGAACCTCGCCCATGACCAATTGAGCAGAAATGAAGCCTCCAACCCTCCCACGGAGGTCATTGACCTCTCTCCTCGTCACCAAACCGAACTGCGCCCATCTCCGTGTCCAACCTCCTCGCCACCCCCGACTCTACCACGCCACTTCTCCCCTCTACAACCTCCCCTCCCCACGCCCAGCGACCGCCCCCAAACCGCTCCTCGACATCAAACACATCCGCCAAAACCCCTCCCTCTACGCCCAAAACTGCCTCGACCGAAACTACCCGACCGCCGCGACCTACCCCGCCCGCATCAACGACCTCTTCGCCCAATGGCACATCCAACGCAACGAAGGGCGCTCCCTGCGCGAGCGCCGCAACCTCCTCCTCCGCCAACTCGCCGACCCCAACACATCGTGTGACGACGCCGATGAAGAAGCAGCGGGGTTCCGCTCGCTCTCGCGCGACCAGCTCGTCGAAGACGGCCGACGGATCAAAGCGGCGCTCAGCAAGATCGAGGAGGCCGAAGACCGGCTAACAGCTGAGATGGAGGCGCTTGCGCTGGCTATCCCGAACCTCACGAGTGATCAGACGCCGCGCGGGAGTGAGCCAAGGGTGTTGAGCTACATCAATGATCATCCTGAGCCGGAGCCTGCGTTGTCGGATCGCGTGTGGCGGTCACATGTGCATGTTGGTTCGGAGTTGGGGATATTGGATTTTTCGGCTGCGGGAAAGACGAGCGGATGGGGGTGGTATTATTTGCTGGATGAGGCGGCTGAGTTGGAGCAGGCGCTGGTGAGCTATGCGTTGATGGCTGCAACGAGGGCCGGGTGGAGGCAGGTTAGTCCGCCGAGTATGGTTTATGGGCATATTGCGTCGGCGTGTGGGTTTCAGCCGAGGGATCAGAATGGGGAGACCCAGGTTTATGGCATTGCGCAGGCGCCGGAGGACCGGGAGAGAGGGAAGCCGGAGCTCGTCATGGCGGGGACGGCGGAGATTCCCCTCGCCGGGATGTACGCTGATGCGACGCTTGATGAGGGGGAATTGCCGAAGAAGAGGGTAGCCGTGTCGAGGTGTTATAGGGCTGAGGCAGGCGCGCGAGGCGTGGAGAACAAGGGGCTGTATCGAGTACATGAGTTCACAAAGGTTGAACTGTTTGCGTGGACGACCCCAGATGCTGAGGACACGCAGGATGTTTTTGACGAGATGGTGGACTTGCAGACTGAGATGCTTGGGTCACTGGGGCTGCACTGCCGAGTCCTAGAAATGCCGGCGACAGACCTCGGCGCCTCGGCCACAAGAAAATGCGACATCGAGGCTTTCTTCCCTTCGAGGAGAGAGAGGAATGACGGGTGGGGAGAAGTTACAAGTGCAAGTATCTGCACCGACTACCAGAGTCGGCGACTGGCGACGAGGGCAAGGATAGGTGGCAAGGTTGTTTACCCCTGGACGGTCAACGGCACGGCGATGGCGGTGCCAAGAGTTCTGGCAGCCATATTGGAGAACGGGTGGAATGAGAATGAGAAGTCAGTTACGATTCCTGAAGTCCTGCGGCCATGGATGGGCGGGAAAGAAAAGATTGGACCAAGGGCGCATTCCGAGTAAGGCGTTGCGGTTTGTTGAATAGTGCACATTATGGTGGCTGTTATGATACCAGGCAACAACATGACTGGGTTTCTTCCCACTGACTGTCAATCCTGGTTCTCTCTCACTGGCGTCCAAATAGGGGATGGGATAACTCTCCTTATCCAGAACAACATTCAGAAGCCCCGGAAGAAAGGCAAGGGAGCCTCTGCTGAACCTAGGGGGCCCGTTGGTTTGCCAGCATTCCAGGATGATGGTGACAACGCCAAATTGAAGGAGAACTGGAATGATTCATGGGGATTTTAAGTGCCTAGTAAAACATTGACCGACTCTGAGCAAATTTTATATGTCCATGGTATCGTTTGACCTACCAAGTCCTTGGGACTACCTAGTTCTAGTTCCAGGTGGTGATTTGGAAGGGGGTGCGTCGGGGGTGGGGACTAAAAGGTGCTTGCCCCACCAAATGATGTCGTTGAACCCCACCAAGCTGTGAGCTGCCCACAACTACTGCAATTCTAAACTGATCTACAACAATCCAAGGCAGGATGGCCGAGTGGTCTAAGGCGCTAGATTTAGGTCTCATATGAAACCTCTAGTCCGAAAGGGCGCGAGTTCGAATCTCGCTTCTGTCAACAGTGCAAGTGCTTCGGTACTTCTCTTTTTGTGGTTTGGATCGAGGTTTCATATAGTCTTGGGCAATCTACAAAGTAACTGAGGTGTATGGTGACTGCGTGCTTGTGAGGGCATGCCATGGCTCGACAGATATTTGTGGTGTGAGTCCCATGACATTTTTTTTTCCGTGGGTGACGGGAACGGTGGCGGCAGAACCCCACATGCCCAGCACCAAGGCATCGGGTCCCGGTGTTCCTATACCTATAGCTCATGAGATCAGAACGGTATCGGGAATCCATACGCCTGTCTTGCAAACGAGGTAATGATGAATGCCCACCATAGGTCTGGTTAGATTTGAGACGTAGCCTTCTATGCTCGATTCTTCAATGAGCTCCATAATATCTACGTATGTTTGGGCAATTGCTTGCACCATCTGAACTACTTTTGCCTTTGAGTTCAAGTGTAAAACGGCCCGGAAGAAGCCGACGCCGAGCCCCACCTCGAATTTTGGTCAAGGCCTGTGCTCCGACTCATCGTTGACGGGCTGTCACCTCCAGATTCCAAACTCACTGTAAAGAGCTAAAACGTTGTCAGGAATTCTTTTCTGACCACTGAACTTTGCACTGTCCTCGAAGGCCCCGACACCCACAGGCTTGGACTCTCGCCGCATCCGACTTCACGATCTCACGTCATGCCGCTTGACGACGACGATGTTCCGACGGCGACGCCGATCGCGACTCCCTCGGTTGAGGGTGGAGAGGAGAGGTTGACGGCCGAAGAGGCGCTTGAGGAGGAAGTGCAGGATTTCAGGTCTTTCGTCAAGAACACAAATGTCTCGGCACAGACCATTCGCAAAGGCGCCAAAGATTTTGAGTCGGTTGGCACGCGGAAACAAGAAGATGCGCTCGAGCAAAGTCGGCTGGCGATGCAGGAGGTGTTGAGCTATACACGGGCACATACGCCGCAGAATTGGGTGCGCGGATGGTACTTTCCCAAGTGGTGGGCAAAAGGGCCGGCGGGCAACGAGATCGACGACGACCGAGAGGAGGCCAAGCGGAGAAACATTAAGGAGGAAGAGAAGACACCCGACTACTATATCCGCGATCGGGTCGTGCTTCTCGAGAGATCATCAGTTGCGAGCATGAACCTTGGTCGCGCTGTCCCAGGTCAAGCCAAGGATGCTCCCGCCAAGGGTCTGGACTGGCTCCTCCCGGAGGAAGCGCTGTATCTGCTGGAGCGTGGCTCACTGGACTTGTGGTATCCAACTGTGCCCCTCGAAGAAATCTTTCCCGCCGTACCAAAAGCAAAGGACGACACAGAAGACACGGCGGATGGAAGCGATGACGACGAGGAGTACAAGTACGGCGTTCCCTTGAGTCTCCAGGCCGCCTACTCACTCTTGATCGGCAACGTTGGCGAACGCGGGAAGATCAGCCTCCAGAAGTTCCAGGTGTTCTCCAATTTGAAGCGTGCAGGTTACAACGTCCTCCGAGCTCCACCGCTGCAAGATCAGGTGGTGCCTCTGGAGCCGCCAGCGACAACATTATGGCAGTGGCTAACTTCACTGCTCCCGTCCGTCCCCGAGAAGGCGTACGGGCCCCTTGTGCGACCGGGCCTTTACCGCTCATATGTCTCGGTTTACAAACAGATGGCTCTCATCCCCCGTCACATCCCGTCCCCCAAACCCTCCAGTCCATGGGACATGGACGAGCCTTTTGCCATTCACTTTCACATCTGGAAGGCCGGACAGAAATGGACCAAGCTCCGACACCCACCCCCAAACTTTTACGTTAGCGTTGTAGACGCTCAAGACACAGACGTGCCCAAGCTGGATCAAATCGCGGCGCTCATTGGCTCCACTCCACTGGACCTTCCCAACCCCAACTGGTCAGCGCCGAGATTTTTACCCGCAAGGCTTAAGCACGGGCACAGAAACGCCCTGGTGGCCGTGGTCGACCATGGAATCATCAACTACATGCGCTTCGCTGAAGGAGCCTTCTCCTTAGAACCCCTATCCGAGCGAGCAGACGGTTGGATCAGGTACCAGGCGGGAGGAAAGCCTTCACGAGGCGGGAAAGGTGGACGTGGAGGCAGAGGTGGAGGAAGAGGCGGACGCAAGAGGGGTGGCAGGTGAGTTTCGGAGCCACATGTTACGATTGGCGATGCTTGTCAAGAGGTGAAAACTCGATCCCTAAACCACGGACCGGTTCCTCCGCTATGTTGAACTCCCCGGGGCTTTTTGCAGAATTTTCGACGCTTTGAGGAATCGCGTCCACCCGTTCGAGGAAAAAAAAACTCCCCAAGCAAGATATCACACAGAGGCACCGACTGGGCTACTGGACGCGTTTCATCTGAAGAGAGGATCATCGAATCTGAGCCTCAAGCGCACCCGCAACAACTGACCTGCCGGAAGCCACCAGTATTTTAAAATAGTGTCGGTACCAACAAGTGGCGGGTCGACTTCTCGGTCACACGTGTGCGCTGCTGGGTCATTTTGTCCAGTGAACACTGTTGCACGACGTAAACGAGAACTCTGGATACCTGCCTTGGCCGAATGGCGCAACCACTGGTTCGTTCGCAACGGAGTTGGGTTCCCGCCCAATGCTCTCAGCGGAATTCCAGCTGCTAACAAGCTCAAGCTCACACCCATTTTCCGTCTCTGGGCCCTAGTATTGGCTCCTAGTATCTGACGGGCTGCTCTGCCTGAACAGTTGTCATTGGGTTGACTCAGCTGAATGTGTTCCCAGCCGCTGCCCACCTTGGCTTGCATTGGCTCACCGTTGCCTGCCGGGCGCGATTCTGTTACCAATCGCGAGCGCAATCACATGATGGATGGTGGCTTCTGGCGACACCTCGCCTGAACGGGGAGGGCCTATCCGTGGCGAGACTTCGTGTGTGTGTTTAGGGCAATCACTTCGCACTCAGCGACGCACACCAATCTCACCCAGTCATTGGGTTACCACGGGCTCGACTGACCTCGACTCTGAGGTCGCATTGCCCACGAGCTAGCAAAGGCAAAAATAAAAACCAAGATTGACGGCTTGCCTGACGTGTTGCTCTCAATTTAGGCTGGGTTCCAAGTTGTTTGCGGGTTTGAGTTTGGGGTTAGTTGGCCAGTCAGGTCACTCGCGCAGCCCAAAGGGTCCCACCCGGGGTCGAGCCGTCGCCCGCTCTTCGAGGGCTCGCATTGCGCCTTTCCCGACAGACTGCACAGTACAGCTCTTGTCCAACGTCGGGCGCTCTCTCAGGACCATAGGGCTTATCGTGGCGAGATTAATGCTTTCCATCTGCCAAAGGCTGGTTGGACAGACAGCCCACTCGGGACTCGACACTGCTGGAGCGAAAAAGACGCTCGCATTTTAATTGCGCATTCTCATTCGCTCGGGCAGAAGCTCGGTCGAAAGGGTACAAGATGGGCATTCGTAGTGGGATGGGCTTGGATGGCCAAGTGACTGTAGCGATCGCTGTTGGAGCGACCGTGATCATGGATTGTGTGACGGGCACTTGCATCGAGTTGCATCACGTTGATGCAATGAGTGTCATGTTTCAGATGGCTTGAACATCCTCGGTTGGCCCGGGGTCAAGAGGCGAGACCAATGCTGCATTGACTGAGAGCTGCCCGCGGCGCTGTGTTGGAGGCAGCTAAGTTTGGAGCAACGAGCCACTAGGCGGACGCGCGAAAAAGAAAACGAGAAGCAGCAGCAAGGGAGTCCAATTTTTATTTGCCTTCGTTGACAAACGCAAACTCAGATCCGGGCGCAATGGCAACTGCCGCGAAACCTCAAACTTTTTCTCGGCCGAGTTGCGGTGCTGCTGACCTCGAGTGCGAATATCCGAGCGATATTGCACCTTTTCCTCCTTCACAGGCTCTCGTTTGTCCCCAACAGCGAGACACTGCTCTTCCTTCCGGGCCTGACTTTGGCTGAGCCATGGTTTCGAGTCGTCACGGCGGCTGGCCAATGGGGGGAGAGACTCGATCGCTTAGCTCTTATCCTTGGGATTCTCAACTGGCGCAATCAAGTCTCCGACAAAATAACCAGGCCACCCACGCCACGCAGCCTGCTGTCTGTCTCTGATGGAGGGCTACAAGCAGAACATCGATGCATCGAAATGCTATAAATGTCTATGACTTGAAGTTGAATACCTGGGACAACTTATTGCAAGCGTCTCTATGTCGAGGTTGTGTGGCTGCACCTTTTTTGTGGTCCAGTTGGCAATTTGGCTGAAGGCGAGCAGAGGTGAATCATCCTCTCCCGTCATCCTGCGGTACTTTGTACCCTCCTGGGACGGGACCCATCACCCCCCCCAAGACTCAGACTACCGAATAACCTTGTCTCCCTTGGTTTTCTGATCAATTAATAACCTGGGGCTATCCAACCTACCCACTTGACGCAGCCCCCCCGGAAGGCGTTTGCGTTCTTGTCGGTCGTGTCCCCTTCCCTCCCTTGGCTCGGCCCTCTCCTCTCTTCCTCGCTTTCACTCTCCAACTCTCTCTCTCTCTCTCTCTCGCTCTTGTCTGTCTCTTGCGCCCCCTGGCATTCGCAAGCCAGGTGAAACTCTGCATTGAGTCCGAGTTTCGCATCACATTGGCCGTGCAACCTCGTTCAGACGATACGCGACATTTGCTGAACTACATTCGCTGTGTGTTTCGGCGCGTCCCGAGTCCCGGATTCCCGAGTCCTCGTCGGCCCCCCGATCCGTTGAAGCTTGAGCGCGGCCTCTGAACCCAAACCTACGTCTCCCACCTGGCTCAGCTCATCTGCACGCGTCCCAACGCCGCCACCCAACCCACCCACAACTTTATTGGGTCGCTGTGAAGTTTCTTATCGTAATTCTCGAGACATCGCCGCCGAGAGAAACAAAGCTTGCTCGTTCTGATTGGCCTCAGCACACGAACCTGACCCGGTGCTTTTCCTGTCGCACGAGAGGTTTGGCCCTCCTCTCGAAGAGAAAGCGCTCGATTGGATCCCCACGAGCCAAGGCCAGGGCCACACACGAGGCGCTCATCTCTTGCCACATT